GATTGTTTTTGAAAGAAGTCTCTGTCTAATGCATACCAAGGCTGTGTATATTTGATCCAAAATACAGTAAAAACAGTAATATTGTGAAATTGTATTAAAATTTAAAAGAACTGTTTTATATTTTAAAATATTTTAAAATGTCATTTATTTCTGTGATTCAGGAAACTAAAGTCTTCAGTGTCACATGATCCTTCAGAAATCATTTTAATATGCTAATTTCCAATTATTATCAATGTTGAAAACAGTTGTGCTACTTCATATTTTTTGTGAAAACCATGATAGATTTTTTTGTCAGCATTCTTTTGTGAACAGAAAGTTTGGACATACTTTCTATTAAGTGTCTAACTACTATGTACAAGCATTTAAATTAATCATTTGACACAATGTACTTATTACTTATTGTATATATATATATATATATATATACAGAGTTCTGGCATGAAACTCTAGATGGCGCAGTACGATAGGTCTAACTCAATATATGGTAGTGGTACTTTTGAATGGTAGTGCACATTTAAAATATTTTAAGCTGTCCACTTATCTTAAAACACAAATATTTCTGAAAAGTACTCTGAGCATATACAACCTTGCCCACGTGGATTGAAATTGCCAACACAATTGCTCAGTGTCCCTCACAAAAGATTATTTCACAGACTATATTCATGACATTCTGAAGACACACAGGCTATAAAACACATAGGCTATGTGTGTATAAAACACACAGGCTATACAGTGTGCACAGTAAAAATGATTTCTTGAAGTTGTAATTCAGTAGTAAAACAGATTACTGGAGTAAGTTTTCCTAAAAAAAAAAAACGATTTCAGCCTTTCTTTTTAAAAATGTCCCTGTTAATTCAATGTATTACTTGCCGATTCTTAGTAATTATTTGTGAACTTTACAAGCAATTTCTGAGTGAAACCTGTTAAAAGTAAATCCTACACCTTCTTTTCAAGTCTATTTGTCTAATTAAATTGCAAACTTTTGAGTTTTAATAATCACATAAAATTTTAATTTACTTAAATGTAAACACATATGCTTGAAGATCTGGAAAAAAAAGTAAAGCATTAAAATGATTTGCCACCATATTTTTTGTACCACTATAAGCAAACATGTACAAACACATACTGTATAATAAATCCAGAAATGTAGTGAAGCTATTCAAGTCCCAGAATAAAAAGCTATTATACTGATTAGTTCACAGTAATACAGCTGCATTAACCATGTAACTACACGTTGTATTTGAAACACTTCCTTTCTTTTACTGAATGGCTTTTAGCTCAAGCTGAAGCAGCGGAGGAGGGGTATTCTGTGGTACTTGCCAGACACCTCAGCGGTGTATGTGAGAGGGGAAAATACTACTGCCTTTAGCTGTGTGAAATGCTCTAGATGAGCAATTAATTATAATGCTTTGACATTACAAAGATCAAAGGTGGACTGCAGCATAATCAGTTTCGTTTGAAGTTTATGAGCAATATTCTGATTTCTGGGGTTATTCTAAAGGTTATTCTAGATAACATTAAAATATGCACATGCATGTCAAATTTTTCAGCCAACAGAGAATGTCATTTAAACATGAACCGCAAAATGTATTAGTGTACTTACAATAGAAAATAGAAGTAGAATACTTTATAACACCTACTTTGTAATACTTGGCTCCTGAGTCATTCTGAAACAGAGTCAGACTCTTGCTGTCCAGTCTCCAGTAGTGTCTCTTTCTCTGAGGACAAAACAGGTTTGACTAACTTCAAAACTCAGGAAAGTAGTGAGCAAACACACATTGATATAAAGGGCATTTAATGCAAATGTATTATGATGCCGTCATGACGTAGAAGTCGTCTAAGGTTTAGGCAAAATAGAAAATCATGTAGCATTGAAACAACATGAGGTTAAGTAAATGATGACAGAATTTTTATCTTTCACCTATTAAATTACTTGATCACTTGATTACTTGAAAACCATTATCCGCACTCAACAAAAGTAGTCTTCTTTTTGTGTTTTATTTGACATTAATCACCAGTAGGACACAAATGTTTTGGCTGAAATTCAATTAAATTCAATCCCTCCACCCACTTTTTAAATCATTAATTTTATTGACGTCATCATTCATTACCCAATCTTCAATCTCTAAAAGCACACGTACTCCATTTAAATGCTGGACTATTTCCATTTGTATACAACACAAACCTTCATGTCCATCAATACATTGCATCATATACCCATGGCTAGAACATGAATTACATATGATCCCATATTTATCACAATTATACAATTAAACAATTTAATAAATAGTTCAATAAATAAACAATCACCAGCATCTACAACACAAGTTCAATTTCTAAATATATAACGATGGAAAGTACAATGAATTCAAATCATCAGATATACATCGTCATAAATAATCATTGATTTTCACACTATAAATACTCAAAATATACTCCACAAGATATTTAAGATGGATGCGACCAATTATAATTCCTTAAAGGAAAAAATAAAAATCGAATTCCTCCCATTCATACCGTTTAGAGCCAGAGAGAGATCCAAAATGCTTCACGTTTGAATAATTCTTTATTTATATCACCTCCTATGCGATCCAAAAACTTCCTCTATACCTATACATTCCTATTTTTTTATGTCATTTCCCAGCTCGTTGAAATGTCTAGCTACTGGAGAGATTATGTCTTGTCGTCTTACTCTCGAATTATGTTCATTAATTCGCAATTTCAACTGACGCGATGATTTTCCTATATATATGTTTTGGCAAGGACATTTTAAAAAATGCATCAAATCACGACTCTTTTGCATTGTGAATTTAATTAATGATATTTTCAAATTAAAGGAACAATATGTAATTTTTTGCCACTAGAGGGCGCGTATTCAAAACAAACAAAGAAACAAAGGCGTAGTTAGATGACGCCGTGACTGAATCATGGGAGTTGTCGTCTTCATCCCCACAGCCGATGCAATCCGATGGGACTCGGGCAGAAATCATGTTCATGGATGAGCTAATGTATTAACACTTATAGACAATAATGAGCAACAATAATTCACCACACTGCAAAGTGAAAGTGACGTGACATGTGGCCAAGTATGGTGACCCATATCGAACCCACAACCTTTGGGTTATGAGTCCGACTAACCATTAGGCCACGACTTCCCCATCACATCATGCATAGGATGATGTGATGAAAAATTGAAGCGCACAGCTTCACCTAAATATTTATTCATGTGTTTAGTTATCATTTATAATTTGAATAAGAGAACACCATTAAACTTTGGGTAATCAAAAAAATGGTTTTGTTCATTACATCATATAGATCGGATTTTTTTTTTCTTCAGGAAACAGCCAGACTAGCAACACAGTAGCGAACAATAAACGATATGGCAAGACAAAAATTAAATAATTAAACCAAAGTTTGACCAATTAGGGTAACGTGAGGCTAAAACATGTGTATGAAATATGATATCTGGATCACTGTCAGATGCTGAGCCGACCCAGGATGCATAACTTACCATCAGACTCTCCATCACTCATGGCATTTAGTGTTTCTAATACCTATCTTCCATAGCTCGCCTTTTTTTAAGTCATTTTGACTTTATTTATGAAACTGATAACCGCTAAATCAGAGAGTGAAAGGCGTTGCCTAGAAATGTACAATATTAAAACATAAGCGACAAGAAAATTACAGCGCAAAAATACATGCATTATATAGCAGGTAAATTTGACCCGCTGGCGCTTACAGGTATAAATGCCCCATTTTTTGATCTGGTTTTATCTAAATAATTTTTAACAACATTGGATTGTAAATTACATAATTTTAGTAAAAGTCAATGACTGGGAGACTTTAATGTTTTATTTTAAATCTGTTATGTACATTTGAAAAACAGCCACGGGTAAAATTT